TGCCATCCTCTTCGCATATTGTTTCACGTAACAGATCCAAAACCTTCGGTGACTCGAATGAGATGGAAAAGTTTTCTGGTATTACCAGAGAGACTAGCAAGCTGCATCTCCCTATCACGTTCACACCACCAAGCTTCGCTGTCCATTTGCAGACTCCTGCTCAACTCTCGACCAAGGTATTGGCGTTCTTCACTGTGTCTGGAATCCGATAGGATCAAGCGGCGTTTGTCCATCGGCGACAAGGAGTCGGCGAAAATCCAGTGCCTCGGTGGGTGACGGGCAACTCCACAAGTGTCGATACTGGTGGAAACTAAAACATCTTTGATATGCGCCCACTGCGAATCGAGATCACCGTCAATAGTTGAGCCAAGCAATGTTGACAGTGAGGCTTGGTACCTGGTTAAAATCGCAGGGTTTTGTAGATTCGCGATGTCCGGTCGGTAGTGAGTGCGCTTAGGTGATCCTCCGAAACGCATGCAAATCTTAGCACGAAACAATGTGTGATCGGAGTCTAGATAAGTTGACCAGTACGATTGGCAGTCCGTTACGCTTCCACGCCGTCTGTAGCTGATTGCTATGTGGTCAAGCTGGGAGCACTCTTGCGTTTGTGAGGGCGGGCGCCAGGTAGCAGTGTGTCTCCTCGAGTTCCGAAAACTAGTGCTCGAAAGAAACAAACGATGATCAGAGCAAAGAGCAAGCAGTCTGTCTCTATTGTCCGATCGACTGCCACCAAGACCAAAGCTACCCACAAGGTGGTGCTCGCTTGGTAGAAGGCAGCCAACCCGTGCGTTAAGGTCCCCGGCAAGAATGACTATATCAGTCCTTTTGGAGGAACGCAGAAGTTCATGTAGTTGCTGGCAAAAGCTATCTTTAACTGTATCCGGGCTACAGTCTGCAGGGGAGTAGGCGGAGACGACAAACAAGGCACGCTTAACGTCTCGACGCCTGCTTACATTACATGAACCTCGTAGTCTGACTGCACATAGTCGACTCTTGACTGGGATCCAGTCAAGCAGAGCTGATTCAGCCCTGGCACACAGGACAACGCCAACACCAGCTTGACCAGTGGAAGCAGCTTCTGGGTCTCCGGAAAGCCGCAAGTAGTATTTAGCGTCAGAGTTTACTGGAGAGGCCATTCTGATGACAGCGCTAGAGTCTTGTAGTCTGGTCTCTGAAAGGCAACAGATGTCTACCGAAAGCGTTTCAAAAGTACGGGCCAGACATGCTTGTCGTCCGATCTGCATCAAAGTTCGAACATTAAACGCTATGAGGATGAATGGAGAACCAGGTCAAAGAAGGGCTGGAGCTTCGGTGGAGTGAGAGGCGGTTGCGATCACATGACATTGAAAACCGGGAGTTTGGTTGTTGCTTCCATCAGTTGCGAGACGTGGGTCGTTTGTGACGGTGACCGTAGAAGACATAAGAGTACATGTGGGTGAAGGACGGGAGGTGGGGTGATCTGTGAGTGGAGGTTGAGCGGTTGAGTTAGCTCAGAAGATGGGCATAGCAGTAGCCGCAGTAAGCGGTGTGGTCCATGATTCGCCAGTGGGAGTGATACTACCCGGTTGCCCAGGCCGAAGTAGATGGTTGTCTTAGGGGGCCCTACCCTTAGCCTTTGATCAAAGATCTAACCTACAAGGCAGCAGGGCGATGTGAGGGCGTCGCAACCAGTTGGGAGCCGGTGACCAAATAGATGGTTCATACGGCGTTCGGTCCGTGAAGGACCAGGGGCCCTACGCACCCTTAAAGTACAATGCCTCTCAGGCAGGGGCAAAGGGCAGTGACTTTATTTAGTGGCGAGTCACATCCGCCACGTCGCAGTGTTGTTAAACAGACATTTGTGGCTTTTTATAGGGAGAACGCTTGCTAGGCGAAAACGCACCACGTCCTGGAACACTGCCACCAAACAATTCGCTGGAACGGGAAAACCCGAACCACCCAGCTGGCACCCCGTGGAAGTTGTTCGGCAAGCCAGCCTAGTATATTGCAAAATCGCAATAACTGGGGAGAATTATTCATTGTGGCATTACACCCGACCATCCAAAGCACGCCCTTTTACCCAGCCTCTGTCGAGCGTTATTCCAGCGCTTATTCGAAGCACATATCCATCTGTGGCATCCGGGCGTCTCCTTCGTTCCAGGACGTCGGTTTGGTCTATTGTTGGTTTGTCATCGTCCGGTTTTCCTAGTCCCCTGTGCTACTGACGCAGCAGAGGCTAGTCTTGGTGGGCCACAATGTGAGGCTTATGGAGACGTGGTCTGCTTTGGTTAATTGTTGGTTAGCTGTCAGAGAACGCTAAGGGTCACATGGGTGCCCATTGCTCTTGGATACTGAACCATGAATGGTCGGCGTACAGTCGCAATAAACCCTCTTCATGATGCATGCACTGGATTTAGCGCAAACATACACGACTATATCTTTGACGAGCTTAGATGACCTACATGCGCAACCATAATCCACAAAGGTAAAGGTATGTCCGAACTAGTAGCGTCACGGTGGTACCTGGACTGTAGCAGATTGGACCATAAAATCTCAAACAAACAACGTCTAGCAATGTATTGTAACTACACTTTGGTTGAAGTTGACGACTTGGTTGCACAGTAGCATGTATGCGCAGGGAAAACAACCGAAGGACAAGGATTCGGATCTAGAGCTGAGAAAAATGTTAAAGATACTCTGGCTTTGGGTTGTTGCACCAACATCTTTAAAGGAGTATCAGCAATAATGAGATGGGCTAGGTGTAAAAAAGATAAAAGGCATCAGCAATACGTCGGTGCGGGGCGAACTGAGGTCACGCGCGGATAGTGCGAGGCCGCCGGCAGCTACGCAGATTCGAACCGGTGACTTGAGTCACAAGGTAGACACCTCATTTCCTCAGCCACATTCCGACTAGACGTGGTTAGCTGGATAAAGATAACAAGGGTACCTCGTGTACATGCAATTGTATCCTGTTGGCTAACCTATAGTAGGAGATAAAAGCTGTATTTTTGTTCGTCGCAATCAGCCGACATTCATAAATAAAAGCTGTACTACGCCAAAGCAACCTGGTGTATTGTATGAGACTACTGGGTATTGTGACGCGAATGAATGTGGTGGAGCTTCAGTAGCACTGCAGCTGCCTTCTGTTGTGCACGGCTAGCTGATGAAAAAGGAATACATCAGCAGCAGTTCAGATTGATTAACAACCGTGCTGTTTACAGCAGATATGAAGATCGGGTAAAACTAAGCGATGTTCAATGCATGTTGAAGCTGGAGTTTGTTGACAGTAACATGGTCATATGCGTGCTGATACAGCGTAATGACACCCGAAAGCAATCAAGAAAAAGACTCGGACCCAAATCAAAGTATTTGGTTAAAAAACCGACCCTAAAGTAGCGTGGATATGACATTTGTTCAAGAGGTAGATCAGTTTTACAAAAATGTGTGTTAACCCAGCTTGTCTTATTTCAAATCACTGAGTGATCTGATAGAAGTAGCTCCTAAGGAACCCGAGTGTATCACCAAGTGTAGCTTAACGGATGGGAATGGAGTGCAAACCGATGCAAAATATTAACGTTTAGTTCGATAGCGACTGGAACACAGTGAGGAGCGCCTCCCCCACAGCTGTGATATCTAATCACTTGCAATCGAAGATCTCGGGTACCTACAAGTCTGTCCACCATTGTCTACGGACCACTGCGTGTGTCGGATGGTGTTATCGTTTCTGCAAATATGAGATGCATAAGTAAGCGCCGAATTCCTTAGATCGACAAATAAGCCTTGGGTACGTGCTACAAATGCTCGCGTAATGCATAACCGAGTATGGTTCTTGCGTCGCTTATTGGACCTAAGATGACACAACGCTGGAGAACAAGGAAGGACCTGGTGACGGAAGTAGACTCGTCTACCTCTGGATCGTGTTTTTGGTGTCTCAGTCACAACTGAGACGTCAGAACGATTGGTACTCACAAGTGGTGTACATGCTGTTAGCTCCTAGCCAGACAGCAGATTTAAAGTGCGTTTGACGCCGGGTTGTGTGCGAGGTGAGGTTGATTTGGGCGTAGAACACGAAAACAAACGCGCCATATAATCACTCGATAGCTAGCATTTCTGGCCGCACAAGATTGATGTGGTGTACCCGAGTAAATTTGATATTCAGTGCAAGGTCAGCTCTAAGGTCTAAGGTACCACTTGCCTGGTAAGATAGTAACGAAATAATAGTATAAATTAGCAATATAATGCAGTCATTGATGCGTCGATCCTTTGGAAAAAAACAGAATAGGCCAACTGGCCTAGGTGTAAATGAAAGGGACATGTTTAAAGCAGTCTGGGGAGCAAGTAATAAAATGATCGCTAATGTGCTCGAGAATCACGTGGCAAGACGGCGAGTAACTAATGTACATAGAATTAAGTTGCAGGTTTAAAAGGTGGAAAGGAACGACATTCTGAAGCGTACTTGAATTCATGTAGCGAAGCAGCACTAAGATTCGAGGGGATAAGGCAGTCTGTTCCGTCAATACAGTAACATTAGGGGGATGTAACCGTTCATTCGAACAAGTTGAATAGTTTTGACATATGCAAATATTTGGAGTCTAAGTTGTTCAGTTGGTGGTCGCAGTGTTCGTTGAGCACCGCAATGTTGCTGCAAATTGTTCCCCACCAACCTAGACGACATCATCGGCGCACCGTTGTGTAGCGGAGTGTTAGTGGGTGTGCGTCAGATAGTCGTGTGCGAGGTTAATCATCTGGACTGAAAGGCCATCAATCTGGATTCGGATCGTTCGACGGGTTAAGCGATGCACTGACGCTGTCAACTGGTTTAGAGACAAAGGTTTGCAGCAAAACTACCGAGCTCAAAGAACACTGACCACCAAATGGATCAGTGCATTGAGAAAGAATACAGTGGTTAGATGGATGTAAGTCACAAACTGATGGAAGTGTGTGTTAGTGGAAAGGCGCTAAGGATTTTTCAAAATAATTTACACAAATTCTTTGTGCAGCCATGAAATGAAGGAAGCATGTCACTTACTGATATTCTGTATAGAGTAGAGAGAAGATCGCTGATCTTGGAACATGCGACGTATTTGGGAGTATGTTTCATTTCGACACTCGGGTGTCCATAGCCAATCTGAAAGAACAGGAGCATTACTAAGCTTGGTGGTATCTAGCAAGATATGAAAGTAACCAGCTCTGTTAGAAACGTGTGTGGACGATCGACGAACCTGCGCCAAGGTGAACTCGCGTCATTGCTTCCACTAACAGCATCTGTCCGCAGCGATGCATGCACCCCCAGCCAGTGTCTGAAGATGGTCCTTTTTGCATGACGATGGGTGCGAAACCTTTACGGTAAGTCATCCAGAAAAGAGAACGAAGGCGCGTGGTGATAATATCTCTATCTGCAAGCACAATAAAAAGGAATACATGAAGTGTTTACGCAGCAGGCTACGAAATGGTGCGTTTCGGAAATTGAAAGATATTACGAGGGGTGCAACGCGGCGGATCGAGCATAAGTTGTGTGATGAACTGAGTTACCAATGTCATGAAAAATTGGGAGAATGGATAGTAAAAAGGGAGTAAAAAGTACTTGGTTGATTGTATAGAAGGAACAGTGGTTCACAATACGAAAACAACGGCAATCGTGCCACTGACTTATTATTTGGGCCTAATTAAGTAGTAATTATGCGCAGAGGTTGCGAAACAGTGGACAATAACTGATTGCCTTAAGGACCAATAATCAAACAGTGGAGAAATGAGTGACGATCACAACCGTTGTCTCCGATGTGCACAATGAAAAAGAAAGGCATCAGCAGTACACCGGTACGCAGCACCGACGCTTCGCTGCCGCGCAACCACCACCAGTCGCGCGTGGGCTAAGGATACTGCGAGGGTCACCCTGCTCCAATGCAGGTTCGAACCCACGCCGCCAAATTACAAGACAAGCTCTAGAGCTTTAGGATGGGTGCCGGGATGTAAACAATGACACTGGTTGATAATGTATGTGAATAAGATCACAAAAGTTGACACTAAAGCACAAGTATTCTTGCCCTTATATAAAGCAGTGGTCAGACCACATCTGGAGTATTGTGTTCAGGCCTGGTCACCGTACCTCCGGAGTGACATCATTTGTATACAAAAGATTCAGAGACTTGCGACCAGGATGATTGAAGGTCAACGAGGGAAGTCTTACGAAGATCGTCTAAGTAGCTTAAGATTCTTTTCCTTGGAACGGCGCAGGTTGTGAGGGGATTTGATAGAGACGTTTAAGATCATTAAGGGACTTAGTGGTATTAGTTCCACCCATCTGTTTTAGTTGGCTACGTCAAACCATCTGCGCGGGCATCGCCTGAAGCTCAAACATCACAGAGCTCGTTTGGACATCAGGGCAAAGATTTTTACGAACCGAGTAGTTAACTACTGGAATAAAGTACCTTCTGATTTAGTGGAGTCTGAGACCGTAGTAGCCTTCAAAAGGGGCTTAGACAATTGTTGGTCCATCCTTTTTCCAGAGCTATTGTAGTTGGACTGGGATATGTAGTGTATTTTGATGTTGGCATATGAAAATGCAGATATTGCTCTTGTTCTTGCTTCATTCCATTGCAGAAGCAAGAAGAGACAATCCAACGTCGAAGTGCAGGGGGCCGCTTCACTTACCGGCACAAGAACTGGACGCTCGTTAGGCGGAAGCCTCTATCGTCCATCTGACCTGCCCTGACCTGAAAACCCGTCAATACAGTCCAGGATCTACTTCACTCCCAGCAACTGCAAATACGAAGTTGTTGTTTCTAGTATCGTCATGGTGTGGTGACAATTTACACCCGGCGTATTCTTTCAGGTGAGATGAGGAATGAGTTGTAGTTCTTTCACTTTGTGCGGATACATCGACAGGAGGCGAATTTCGGAAGCTGTTTAAATCGAGAATTCGTCGTTTTTTCCGAGGTTACTTTTTAACTAGTGTGTGTACGACTGGAACAATCTACCTGAGGTAGTCGTCAGTGCACAAATAGTGGAATGATCCAAACGACTGCCAGGCAATAAATGTGTCAGCTGTACGCCGTAACGGCGCTTCGCTGCCGCGCGACCGCCACCAGTCGCGCGCGGGCTGAGTATACCGCGAGGACGCCCAACCCTACGCGGATTCGAACCGGTTGCAAAGTCCGCTCAGATGTTGCTCTCTCTACTCGAGTGATTAATGATTGGAACCGACTGCCGGACCCGATTGTCAATGCGCAATCAGAAGCGAGTTTCAAACGTTTGTTAGACATCTTCCTACTGAGTACTCCAGGATCCTGCAGGGCTGATATTACATCCTGAGTCATGACAGCCGACTCGCCTGCAATCCTTGGAAGATCGGGAAGCGAAGGAGCTGACACGGGACCCCCCTTCTGCTCTCTACCACTCAATGAAACGTGCAGACCACTCGGCCACCGGCCGGGCAAGCATGGATCTGTGTTCACTGCGGATGTAACGCTCTTTTTTTTATAGAGTTCATAGAGTTGTAGAGAGCAGAAGGGAAGACCCGTGTCAGCTCTATCACCTCCCGTTCATTGGCTGGATGACCTGTCGATGCTAAACTGTGTTCGCCGAGGGATTGTTGCAGCTGCAGCAAAAACAGCGGAATCCAGGCATGCTCAGAATGTACTTGTCCAATCGTTCTTTAAAAGATTCCTCTGTCTGGGCACTTACCACACATTCAGGAAGATTGTTCCACTCATTTACAACCCGTGTGGATAACGTGATATCGGACCGGATATGGTTCCGCCGAGGTTTGAAAAGTTTCAAGCTGTGGCCCCGTGTTGAACAATCTGTGTTGAGCTGGAAAAACTGCAGCAACTCCTTCCCCAAATCGCCCCTTAAAACGCGTCTAGTATAAATCAAATCAGCACGGCGACGGCGGTAGTCCAGAGTAAATAAGTTCATGCATTGGAAACGAAGGGGATAAGGTAAAACACGTAGCATAGACACAGACTTGGATCCGCGAATCTGGACCTTCTCAATCAATTCACATTCAACTTTCGTGAGTGGGTGTATGGCAGGTAGGCCGTATTCCAGTATTGGACGAACGTGGGAGGAAAACAGGAGCCTGAAGTTCTGCGGAGTCAATTTGTAAAACGACCTTCGTATGGCACAGAGCATCCTGGTGGCAGATGCTACCTTCCGCAACGTGTCCTGCGTTGTTCTTAGGTCTGGAGAAATAAGTACACCCAAGTCCTTCTCACCAACCACATTCTTCAACAGAAAACCACCGATGTGGTAAGCACCGAAAGGTTCCTGATCACCGATCGGGAGAACACAGCACTTATCACGATTGATAGGCATTTGCCACTTGACCGACCAATCGTGCAGCAGATCGAGCGTCAGCTGCAACCTGTCAGCGTCTCCAAGCCTGGATACTTCCGACCAAAGTTTAAGATCATCAGCATAGATCAAGCAGTCTATTTGGAGCACCTCCGGGAGATCGTTGATGTAGATTTTGAATAGTTCGGGACCAAGTAGGGGCCTTGTGGAACCCCACTGGTCATAAGAACAGGAACAGAGTCGACTTCGTTAACTCTCACCTTCATACTACGGTTATCTAGGAAATCCGCGATCCAGGCGAGCAACTTACCAGCGATGCCAATCTGCCGAAGTTTGCTAAGAAGTCGTTTGTGTGGAACCCTATCAAACGCCTTGCTAAAATCCACAAAACTACATCAAGTCGATGACCAGCATCTACTGACTGCGCCCATTTTTCTCGGGCAACAAGCACATTGGTAATGCAAGAGCGTGCCCTTCGAAATCCGTGCTGAGCAGGAGAGATGACGTCCAATTTCTCAAGGTGAAGATGCAAGGCCTGTTTCAAAATCCTTTCCATGGTTTTACAGAGGATTGATGACAGACAAACCGGTCAGTAGTTCACTGGATCTTGGCGATTCCCACCTTTGTACATGGGTTTCACGACATTTGCTTTCCATTTAGTTGGGAGACGACCTGCTTCAAGTGAGCTACGAAATACTTGACAAATTAGTGCAGCAATGAACTCCGCCACCTCTTTGAGGAACACGGGATACAAGCCATCGGGACCCGGTGAAGAATTCGAGTTCAAGTCAAGAAGCAGTTCCAATACTCTACCAGTGGTAATTTCAACATGCTCTAAAAGGAGAGGGGTGATAGGAAGTGTCCTCGACAGCTAATGGCGCCTCCGTCGTATACACAGAAGAGTATTGCGAAGCTAGTAGACAAGCTTTCGCCATGTCATCATGAAGCATGGTGTCCCCTTTGCTTGAATACAGTGCGGGTATACCGTTGCCAGCTTTGGTGCTTCTTTTTAAGTATGCGAAAAGCTTTTTCAGATTAACCACAGATTGCTCGGTCAGATGCTGCTCATATAATTCTCGCTTCTCGCGCTTTCTCAGGGTACATAAATTTCTAGCCTCTTTGTAATGCGCGTAATCTTGTGCCGTCTGAGAGAACTTGAACCGGCCCCAAAGTTTCCGCCTTCTCATCATGAGCGATTTCATTTTGTGGAACAGTAGTGTGGTACTGCACCGTAACACCACACATAGTCCTGTAGTGAGCGGGAAGTGATGGAGTCGATAAAGGATATTACTGTGCCCTCTACAACAATGAACGGGTGTGAAAACCAAGGCGCATTTCACGTGAAATGTTGCTGCCGTACGGCGTTTTGGCTTCAGAAGTTTGATATGTATACCAAACATAAGGACGTGTGACAAGGATAAATATCGCCTCAGTAAAAGTCGGTTAAGAGAGAATGTTAAGAAAAGCTTACCTTTCAGGCAATTATACTCCCGTCCTAGTATGTGAACGCTTCTCGCGTCATTTGGCAAATAGGGGTGGTCAGGCAAACAATTTGTGTAATTAAAAATTGCTAGAAGACATGTATTATAATACGCAGTACCTTCCCAATGGTTGTCCATGAAATCCACAAACGTGGAACAGAACTAGTTCCGTTTCGGTCAAGTTTTAACGAAAGAAAATAGATCACGTTTCCTGGTACAGCTGCCACAGATCAAAAGTATGCATGGACGATGCAAGCTCCAGCCTAAATAGCGTTATTTTTTCTGCATCTGTAAGCAAATAAGGATCTCCGGTACTTCGACGCTAGAGTAACTTCCGCGGCTTCTTCAAAAATTGCGGCAAAACAAAAGTATCCTCTGTACTGTCATGCAGGACGAGATAACAAGTCCAAGTTCAAGCGGGACTGGAACGATAGGATTATCCCGTGGGTGTTCCTTCTTCGGCGGGTCGTTGAACCATGAGTTAGCGAACTTTGAAATACTGCTGGACCTAAAACAAAGACCGCATCACGCCCTGTCCAACCAATTAATGCCCACGTATCCTGCCCTAGCAGTCCCTGCTGGGTCGGTTGCGTGAAGTAAGAAAGAGAAAAAAGTAAACGCAGAAGGCAAAAGAGAAAGTGGTAAGAGCTAAGCAAGTGGAATACCAAGATATTTGGGTCAATAAAAAAACTGAACAGTGAGGGTGAGTCAGCTATGAAAAAGGAAAGGTTTGCTGTTGCTACCCAAGAGCAGCGAGCTGCCGCGCAAAACCCTTAACTGTAGGTTCCCTAACCACGTGATCTGGAAGCGCATTCCAGCGATCTATAACTCGGCGCGATAGACGAGTTTCCGTCCTAATCCTATCAGACCATGGTTTATGCAGTTTCAGTGGGTGACCGCGGAGACTAGGTAACGTAGCGGGACTAGCAAGCCCTGAGAAGTCCGGGCCAATATTACCCGTCAAAATACGATAGGTGAGAATCAGGTCCCCTCTTATCCTTCGGTAGTGCATGGAGTACATACCCAAACTGAGCAAGCGTTCAGGATACGTCCGTCCCCGTAGACTCTGCACTAACCGAGTGCCCACTTGTAACACCCTCTCCAAGTCCATTTTGTCTCGGTTAAGACATGGTGGACCAGCCTGAATACAATATTCCAGGTGGGGTCGGACGAATGCCGAAAATAGCTTCACAAACAACATGGCCGTTAAGATTCCGAAAGAGCGGCGGATAAACCACATCATATGAAACCCTCGACAAGCAGCCTTCTTTCAGTTGTCTCCAGAATGAAGTGCTGATGCGTGCACGACTCCTAAATCAGCCTGCTGAGTGACAACAGGGAGTTCATCACCGCCGACAACATATCGGGTGGGAGGATTTGCAGCTCCGATTCGGAGAACAGAGCACTTCGCCCTATTTATGGGCATCAACCATAAGATAGACCATTCCAGAGCCTATCCAAGGCATGCTGAATTGCCTCAGGACCCCCGGGATATCCACAATATTCCAGAGCTTAAGGTCGTCAGCAAACATTAGTGATGACACCCCTAGCTCTCTCGGCAAGTCATTTACATAGATCGCGAACAACAATGGCCCCAATACCGAGCCCTGCGGAACGCCACTAAGGACAGCTTGCCTGAGCGAAAGGCTACGCCCCACCCGTACGCACTGTGCCCTCCCCTCAAGGAAGGCAGACACCCGTTGAAGGGCGCGACCAGATATCCCGTAAGATCTCAATTTTAGTGAGAGCCGAATATGTGGAACAGTGTCAAAAGCTTTCGAAAATTCCATGAATAGCACGTCTACAGTGTGGCCACTGTCTACCGCTTCGGCCCAGCTTTCACGAGCTACAAGTTGATTAGTCTGACATGAAAATCCCTTGCGGAATCCATGTTGCGCATCACTGAGAAGGTTGAATCTATTCAGGTGGTTCTCCACTGAATCTCTTATCAGCTTTTCAAACAACTTGACTACTACGCTTGTCAAACTGACAGGCCGGTAGTTAGCGGGTAGAGCACTGTCACCGCCATTAAAAATCGGATAGATGATTGCCTCCTTCCATTCCGAAGGTAGGCTGCAGCTATCCAGTGATACTGAAAGCACGCATGTGAGCGGACCACTCAGCTCCGTGGCCAATTCATGCAACAGCTTCGGATGAATTGAATCAGGACCGGAAGCTTTAGAGGGATTAATGCCCTGCAGTAGCTCGAAGACTTGTGTCTCCGTTATGCTAAATTCATCTAAGCAAGAATCCTCTGGAACTCTTGAAACCAATTCAACCTGCGGTAACGAGGTCTCCCGAGCAAAGACCCCAGTATACTGATCACTAAGTATACAAGCCTTTTCATAGTCAGTTTGCGCACGGGTCCCGTCTGCTAGCAATAAAGCTGGTATAGACAGTTTTGCCCCGCTGCGTCTGTTAACGTAAGCAAAAAACTTCTTGGGATTAGCTGCGGCCGAGTCCGCTAAACCCTGCTCGTACTGGAAACGAGCAGTTCTGAGATGTTGCTTACATTTATTTCTAATCTCTAGATAACTATCATAGGTGCTGGCTGATGGAGCTGCTTGGTAGGTTCGCCAGCATCTAGACTGTTTCTTGAGTAGGTACTTGCCTGTGGTATCTATCCATGGAGGCTGTGCCCTTAACCCTCTTTTCCTCATGAGTGGAATATAGGGAGTGGAAACCTCCGTAAGGTTTGCCTTAAATTTATCCCAGGCTAACTGGACAGAATCAGCCATCGAGACCTCACAGTTCAGAACTGAAGCCTTAGTTCGCATTGCACTAAAGTCCGCCCGCCAAATATTCGGTAGTAATGTAACAGCGGTCTCTTGGTGCCATGAAAGAGCACATCGAAAAAATATGCATGCGTGTTCGCTAGACCCTAGAGGTGCACCGTGTGAAATGTCAGTCACGAAGTCGAGAGGCTTAGCGGAATCCAAATCCAAAGTAGATGGTATTTGGTTGTCCATATACCTAGTGGGAAAGTCAACGAACTGGTGCAAAGGCGCTTGGAGAGTCAGTTCAAGGAAGTCTGCACCGAATGTTCCTAATGCCGAATTGCAAGAAAGATCTGCCCAACAGACTTCCGGGAGGTTGAAATCCCCTAGAACTTAACACTTATTCGCAGACTGAGTGCGAATAAAGCCAAGTATCTCCCTGGAGGAACTTCCAGGACTTCGGTATATCACTATAACTATAAACTGGGTAGAGGAAGTGCACAAAACAGCCGATAGGGCTTCAACAGTCTGATCCGACGACTGGAATGTGCAAGTCCTCAACACATCTAAGTTACAGCTCACATACAGTACAACGCCTCCGCCTTGGCGACCAACGGAGCGATCAGTTCTAAGCAGCGCGTAGCCAGGTAGATTTACCTCACCGTCCGTGATATCCGGAGACAACCACGTCTCAGTGAAAGCAAGTATGTCGGGACGAGATTTGTCTACAAGTAGACCCAACTCGTGCACCTTGTTCCTTAGGCTACGCACGTTGCTAAGTACTACCTCAAGGAAGTCGGCATGACCATCCCTGGGTCGTGCGTCATCAGGATTGGTTCTGATAGGGCGGAAAGTAAGTTCCAGCTGACCACCTGAAAACCCACCAGACGGAGGCCTTGCTCACCAGCCGCCCGCCTAGTTTTGAGGTCTTTGATAGCCTCCTTTAACTTCAACCTATCTGCCAGTGGTAGGTCCGGCTGAACGCTGACACCACTACCCTTAAGTTTGAATGCAAATCGCATTAACGATTTGCGTTCCTCCGGGGTAGAAAGGACTACGCGAAGTAGTCGGGGTCGTGGATTTGGCACAGCGATAGGAACGTTCCCCAATCTGGTCAGCTTTCTGACAGTGACGCCAGGGAAACCAGGTGGAAGCAGCTTGCTGACACACAGTTTCAGCCACTTGATGTCATCCAAGATACGTTCCCTTGGGAGAACGGCCTCAGATTCAGTAACGTTACGGAATATAACGCTACTATCAGTGAAAGAGTCGGCACAACGGGGAGTGTTTACCCCACGTGCCTTGGAGTCGACACCTGTACCAGCTGTTTTCACCACTGGCGGTGGGACGGTCCCTGGCTTCCCAAACGACGCCGAAGCAACTGTAGCGTAGGTTTTCCGCTCTATTGCCGGCGTCTTACTGGTTCCTGGGTCTTCAAGCCCCTTCGAAGTCTTACGAGCAGATTTTGTCCGCTTCTTCTTTTGGCTCACTGGAGCAGGGGCCGTTGACTTTGTATCGCATTGAGCAGTTACCAGCATTTCCTCAGAACAGGCGACATGATTCAAGAAAACTACCTAATTCTGCGCAAGCTTCAGACTAATCTACGGTTTATTTTCAAAAAGGGTGATAAGCACCTACCTGAAAATTATAGACCGGTTAGCCTAACATGTGTGCTAGTGAAAGTATTGGAGAAGCTGTTAAGAGATGCTCTGGGGAAGCACTTAGTTAAGTTCAGTTTGCTCAGCCGTCTCAACGTGGGTTCCGCAGATGCCACTCCTGTTTGACTAACATGTTGGTAGCCCGAGAGTGCTGGGCTGAGACTGTGGATCAAACAGAGGAGGTGGAGGTTTTGTTCACCGACTTTGCTAAGGCCTTTGACACCGTACCGCATTGTCGTCTTTCGATTAAACTAGCACCCTACGGCGTTTCAGGCCAAGTATTGAAGTGGATTTCGGCTTTCCAGGAAGGAAGGCAGATGAGCTTTCGAGTGGGTTCCGGATTGTCTTTCAGACAAACGGTCCTGAGTGATGTTCCTCAGGGGTCGGTTCCCAGGCCTCTACTGTTTGTATTGTATGTCAATGATCTCCCTGAGAAGCTTAAGGTACCATCCTTTATGTTTGCGGATGACTTAAAATGGTGGAATACAGTGAGCGATTCTGTTTGACCCACGGCTTTGCAGACAGCTCTTGACAAGCTTTGGGAGTGGTCAGAATTGTGACAGCTGCCAGTCAATCTTGCAAAGTGTTCGGTCCTGTGCAAAGGACCAAGCACTTCCACAACTCCTTACGTACTTGGCGGAAATGTAGTACGTCAAGTGACTGAAAAATCGACTTGGGAATCTCACTATCCTGTGACTTCAAATCCAGCGAGAACTAGACAAATGCTACCCGCAAGCGTTTCCGAATGCTGTGGATGATAAGCAGGTCGTTCGGCATCATAAAGAATGAAACCTTGTTACATTGCTCTCATCCCTTGTCAGGCCATACTTGGAGTACTG